GTGTTCTGCAATCCGATTAGACCCCACCTGAGCGACGAAGACACAATTTTAATTCGCAAGGTAACTAAGATAATTTTAATTCGTGGTGTTATTTGTTGTACATATAAACTTTTTTCTCTACAATGAATTACGAAAAAGAACAAGCCAAACTATTGGCACTTTGGCAGGAACTCGAAGATAATGAGTACAAAATCACAAGATCACAATTAATCAGTCTGATAGTGAACAAAATAAAGAAATTGAGGAACTAGAAGTATTGGAATCTGAAAATAAGCGAAAAGAAGATAAAAAATATCCTTATTATTTAGGCAGGGATTCCAAAACAAAATGGAGAAAACACCATAGTAATAAAGCAGTTAGAACGAGGGCAGAGAACATAATTTCGAACTTACCAGGATCCAAACCATATGCTAAAAACGCGAAGACTCTTTTAGATTGCTGGCTTTAGACTGATTGAAGGCTTTTGTCTGATTGAAGGTATCACGGTTTGCACCAATATATTGATAGTTAAAAAAGCATTAGCCTACAAAGATAAAGCATATTATAGCAGGACCAATATTATTGAAATAAAGACATTATTTGGCCTCCTCTACCTAGCGGGTGTATCTAAAAATGGTCATTGTAATCTAAAAGACCTTTGGCGAACAAATGATACAGGAGTCGATATATTTCGTGCAGTGATGGCACTCAATAGATTTACATTTTTATTGCAGTGCTTTCGTTTCGATAATGTAGACAATCGACAAGAAAGGTAACAGTCTGATAAGTTGGCTCCTATTAGGTCAATTTTTGAAAAATTTGTCACAAATTGTCAACAAGATTACTCACCAGGACAGTACTTGACTGTTGACGAGAAGTTAGAGTCTTTTCGTGGGCGTTGCTCATTCCGGCAGTATATTCCGAACAAGCCCGCGAAATACGGAATAAAAATTCAGGCCCTAGTACACTCCCGTACTTTTTATGTTTTTAATATGGAAATTTATGCAGGGAACCAGCCAGATGGGCCGTACCAAATAAGCAATAAACCTATTGATATTGTTCAAAGACTAATAGCACCAATTTCCATTAAAAATCGAAATATCACTTTCGATAATTAGTATACCTTTTACGAACTTATGAAAATTTTGCGTGAACGACATAATTTAACTTCAGTAGAAACTCTGAGGAAAAACAAGCGAGATATTCCCCCAGAATTTATACAGGTTAAGAACAGACAACCACAGTCCTCGGTATTTGGATTTGAGGAACATATAACTATGGTATCCTTTGTAGCAAAAAAAGGGAAAAACGTGATTTTATTATCATCACTTCATCTATGTAAATAGATAAATCTACCGGCGAGAAACTTTTACCAGAAATAATAAGTTTCTATAACTTTACAAAAGGAGGGGTTGGTAACACCAGTAGTAGAGAGAACAGTCGCTACTGTCTGGATCCTTTCCATTCTCCATTATCTTCTTATTTGTATTTCCAGATCTCTGTACCAGGTAATCCTTTCATTGTATTTAATACAGATTATTGTTGTTAGGTATTGTTACATTAATTAGTGTTGTCTGTCTAGTTAATTCATTAATTAAAATCTGATCTGGTCTAATATGTGTCACTGGTTCGTCTGTGAGCACAGTGTGTTTCCAATATAAGTAGCTTGTAGTTGTCATTTTCAAGCATACTATCAGAGAATTATTGATAATATGGTAGAAGTTTGGTTAGAGAAATCCAAGTTTGTTAGCTATCAAATGAGGGAGGATCTTTTCAACTGACACATGCCGTTTCTTATAATTCAGTTGCAGCAAATGTCTGGCATCCTTCAGTAAGATGTTGGATGGTTTTTTGGGCTTTACATCCATATCATCATTTGTTGTTTTGGACCTAAGGGTCTTTGACAATATATTTCCGGTAATTTTGGGTTAGTATAACCTTATCTTGAATGGCGAGTAATGAACGTAATAAATAGAATAGAATAAACACCGGTTGATTGAAATATTTTTAGAGTCGATATTGTTTTCACCAGATATTTGGAGGTAAATTTTAATCTTCCAATTTGACCTTTTTTGCTTTAACATGGTCACTATATTATGTCTCTGGTATTACAACTAATCCTTAAAGGCAAAATAGAGGGCCGTAGAGGTGTAGGAAGAAAACAAGTTTCTTGGTTAAAAAACATTCGTGAATGGACTCGGAAGATCGAGAACCCTTCGCAATGGTGATCGCCAACGTCGGATAGTTCTGATATGGCACGCGAAGAAGATTAGCTCTCTCCAATGGTGTTACAGCAAAAATCGAGCCTTGGCCTCCTCCAAACTATGCCTTCAACTTTGCCGATCTTCTTCAGGTTCTTACGTCTAGCAAATTTTGCGCGTCCGCTGTCACTTCATCCTCCCACCTTTTCCGTGGTCTTCCTTTTGGTTTTGCGCCCTACATTTTACCATCTAGGCCCCTTTTTGGCAATCTTTCAGTCTTTATTCTCACTACATGACCAGCCCATCGAAGTCTCTGAAGTTTAACGAATTCTGATATCGGTGCCTCTTTGAATTGTTGGTAGAGTTCATGAATGTACCTGTATCTCAATACTCCGTTTTCGTTAATATGTCCAAATATCTTTTTTAGAACTTTTATTTCCAAGACCAGCTTTCGTTTTGTGTCTTCTGTCATCACCCATGTCTCGCATCTGGAACATATTATTGGTTTTATAATAGTTTTGTAGACTCAAATACTTTCTTATAGTTGATGAAAGCAGTAAATAGGTTGCTTTTTTTGGTATGTAATTGGTTATTATCGATGACTCGATAATGAGTTGTTTTTTGCAGCCCATGGAACACTCCTAGAAATTCCTGTTGCTGCAAATAACATCTGCATATGCAAATATTTCAATGTATGGGCTTCTACGATATAATTGAGTAGGACTTCAGTATTCACAGTTTGTATCAGTGTACCTAGTTTCTTCTTCTTATGGTGCCTATCCGTTACGGATGTTGGACACTAACATGGCTATTCTGACTTTGTTGACTGCTGCCCTGAAAAGTCCGGTAGTGGTTAAGTTAAACCATTTTCGCAGGTTATGCAGCCAGGATATTCTTCTCTGTCCTGGACCTCTTTTCCCATGCACTTTACCTTGAAGTATGGTCCGAAGCAGGTCATATCGTTGTTCATTGCGCATTATATGGCCCAGATATTCTAGTTTGCGACGTTTTATGATTACGACTAGTTCGCGCTCTTTACCCATTCTATGTAGTACTTCTACATTGGCAACTCTGTCTATCTAGGAAATCTTCAACGTGCGTCTATAGCACCACATCTCAAATGCTTCTAGTCTCTTCAGTGATGCTTCAGTTAAGGACCATGACTTCACGCCATATAAAAGGACGGAAAATACGTAGCATTTTAGTAAACGAACTTTTATTTCCAATTTTATGTCGAGGCTATTAAAGATTTTTTTCATTTTGACTAAAGCTGATCTTACCTTCTCGATCCTTATCTTAATTTCCGTCAATTGGTCCCACTGTTCATTTAAATTTGTACTCAGATAACAAAAGTTGGTGATTTGTGTTATAAGTTGTTGGTTAACTAGTAATTGACCAGGTGGTATCCTATTTTTGCTTATAACCATTTATTTGGTTTTTTTGATGTTAAAATCAAGCCCAAAACTTCTACTTACTTCTGCCACCCTGGAGACAACTGTCTGTAGACCTTCAAGACTGTTTGCAAAAATGACAGTATCATCAGCGTATCTTCAATCGTTCTCCGTTTATAAGTATTCCCTCGTATATGTCCGTTAGTGCTAGGTTCATAATGTGCTCTGAATAGGTATTGAACAATAATGGGAACAATATGCATCTCTGTCGTACACCTCTTTTTATCTTTATATCGTCTGTTAACTGATCCCCAACAGCTCTAGCTTCTTTGAAGAGTTTAGTTTTGGTGGTGTGGTGGAGGTGGTGGGCTAAGTGGATTTGTTCCATAAAACTCTTGTATGGCACATGCCATTTCGCTAACCAGGCTATCGTGCAACTCGTTGTTGCCCTGATGTGCATTATCAGGTTGTGTTGGTAAATATATGGCAAATTCGCGAATCTGCTCATGTAGCGGCATGCAGAGAGCTGCGGCTCTGGTAGACTCGGCTCGACTGGTTTATCTGGTGGTAAACTTGGTAAACTTCCCCAACAAGAACACCTGGAAGTACCTATCGGATAAAATATTTTGAATCCAAAGGCTTAACTTCCGAGGATACTATATTGATCTAATTTAGCCAGTAATTGACGCTTGAGAACACAATCGAAAGATTTGGAAAGAACTACGTCACCAGGATGCCAATTGTTTAAAGACGACGACCAATCGTTTACACAATGAGATGAGTTTGTGATCGTTGAACGACCCTTGATAAAGATGAGCTGATGGTGAGAGATGACATTTTCTTGAAGGAGAAACTCATACATAGTTTCCAAAGTATGGATTCCATTATCTTGCTGACAATAGGAACCAGACTGATTGGACGAAAATTATTGCAATGAAGTTTATTTTCTTTCTTTAAAATAGGATCAACCGAACCCAATTTACAGAATGAGGGGAGAGAACCTTGATTAAAACAGGCATTAATTATGAAGGTTCAAGAAAAAGGAGGTTCATAAAATCCAGGCGATGAATTATTGCATACTTTCCGTAAATTTTATTCAATTGCCTCCCGTGAGAAAGTTGCATATACACATGGGTACATTATTTGAGGTACGGTTTCCTTAGATTTAACAGTAAAAACCTGAGAGAAAAATTACGATAAAAATTCCGAGGATTGTTTTTAAATATTGTTCCTTATTCTTTTCTGGTTTTACAAAACGTACTTATGTTGGGTTTGGATATTTTGTTATTGCTGAGTTTTTCTGAAACTAACGCTAAAACCCAGTAATTATTAATTGTTAGTCAACTATTTGAGCCATTATTATACATTCAATTATTTTTTCTCGTTAATGTAACATCCTTTAATGCAATTTATTTTTAATTTTTTTTAGTGTCATCTAGCTACGTTATTGAAAACTGCAGAAGAACTTAGGATAAAAGGTTTAGCGGAAGTTTCGTGGCGAGATGAAGAGCAACCAAATAATAATGAGACCAACTCCAATGGTGTACAAACAGCAATACCCCAAGTACAGACTGTCATGCCCAACAGGTATATTTATTTATAACAAAACACAGCAATGTATATATATATATATATATATATATATATATATATATATATATATATATATATATATATATATATATATATATATATATATATATATATATATATATATAGATGTATTGTTCTGAAGCTATTTTCTTGTGGCATTGTAAATTAATTACTATTTAACTGGGAATAAGCCACAATTAAAGATAAAAATACGTTTATTGACGTTTTTTCAATTTCCACTTCGGAAATCGTTTTCAAAATACAAACAGTAAATTTACTGTAACAGTAAATTTACTGTTTGTATTTTGAGAACGATTTCCGAAGTGGAAATTGAAAAAACGTCAATAAACGTATTTTTATCTTTAATTGTGGCTTATAGATGTATGTATATACCAATGTGTCCATACCGATTTAACCGTTTTTCAGCTTTATCATCAATTATTGTATTTTTTACTTCCATTTTTTCTCTAATGGCGTCATTTCTTACATGATCACGTCAAGTTACACCGAAACAGCTGCAGTATATTATTTTTTTTTTTTGAGAGGAGTTTTTATAAGGTATTTTTATCGACGACCCAAGTTCTTTTTGTTAGGTTTTTACTTCATGAGATTGGATGTAGTGCTTTTATCATATTTTCCCATTTTCTTAATATGTGTTTATTGTCTTTCCCATCTCCATTTATTATAACTCCTTGTTATATATACTGCCCAACATATGTTGTATATTTATATCTAAATTCCATTTTGTAAATTCTTCTATGAGTTTGTTTATCATGTATGTTATGTCTTGAAAGTCTTTAGAAAGAACTAAGTGATCATCGACAAAGAGAATTACACACGAGTGAATATCTTATGAAAAAGCAAGAAAAAAACAAGGGTGGATGACAGAAGAAATACTGAGACTTATGCATCAAAGAAGAGAAGTCAGAAATAAAGATAAAAACGAATACAAGAGGATCCACGCAATAATCAGGCAGAAGATAAGACACGCGAAAACACAATTTCATAGTAAAGAATGTAATGAAATTTAGCAATATGAAAAGAAACACGATACATTTTATCTCCACAAGAAATTAAAAGAGGTCGCTGGAAACAAACGGAAACAAGTATCCCAAAGTTTAGAAGACAGCAACGGACACAGAATATTAGACATCAATGAAAAGTTAAAAGAATGGGAAAACTACATTTCTGAATTATTTGAAGATGAGAAAGAACACTATACTATTAACAGAATGTGAGGTTATACGTTCAATACAAACGGCAAAAATTAAAAATCACTTGGCCCCGATGAAGTAAGTGCTGAAATACTAAAGTTTTTGGGAGAAAATGGAATTAAAGCTCTGTGTAATCTCTTTAACAGAATTTATGACACTGGGATATTACCAACTGATTGGTTAAAGTCGACATTTGTCACAATACCTAAGAAACATCGTCCAAAGACATGCGGTGATTATCGGACAATAAGTCTAATGAGTCACGTTTTGAAGATCTTCCTGCGAGTAATACACAGCAGAATTTACATGTTGTTAGAGGACAGAATTGGCAATACTCAATTTGGGTTTAGGAGTGGCTTGGGTACAAGAGAAGTCTTGTTTAGTATACAGGTGGTAGTACAGAGATGCAGAGATAAATCAAAATGTGTACATTTGTGCAATCGATTTTGAAAAGGCTTTTGACAAAGTCCGACATAACAAAATCTTAGAAGTATTAGAAACAGCTCGATTTGACGATAAGATCTACGAATAATTACAAATCTATACTGGCATCAAGTGGCAAGAATAAACGTTGAACAAGAACTGTCGGATGAAATAAATATAAAAAAGAGGAGAGACAAGGCTGTATATTGTCGCCTTTACTTTTTAACTTATATTCGGAGAAAATATTTAAGGAAACCCTTATGGAGACAACTGAAGGTATTATTGTGAATGGACTAACTGTCAACAATATTAGATATGCCGACGATACCTTAGTGCTTGCTAATGCGGAGAAAACCTTCAAAATCTAATGAACAAAATAAAACAGACTTGTGATCAGTATGGATTAAAACTCAACGTTAAGAAAACTAAATATATGATAGTTAGCAAACAAAATTATATATAGGATGACGGTATAAAAGTCGGAGATGCCACACTTGACAGAGTAGAGAAACTCGTGTATCTCGGCAGTAATATTAATGAGAGCTGGGATCCAATCGAAGAAATTAAAAGCCGAATAGAACAAGCCAGAGCTGCCTTTGTAAAAATGAGAAACATACTTTGCAGTCACGATCTTAGCACTGACCTTAGAGTTCGAATGACATCTTGCTACATATTTTCTGTCCTGCTCTATGGAGTGGAAGCGTGGACTCTAACTGAGGCTATGCTTAAACGCTTGACAGCCTTTGCGATGTGGGTGTACAGACGACTACTGAAAATAAGCTGGGTCTACAGAGTTAGAAATGAGGAGGTAATTAGACGGCTGAACCAAACAACACAACTGGTCAATATAATAAAGAAACGCAAGCTGGAATACTTCGGTCACATTATGAGACACCCTGAAACATATGATCTTTTACATCTGATCATTCAGGGAAAGATCCAAGGTAATCGTGGTCCTGGTAGAAGAAGAACATCATGGCTGAAAATTCTAAGGCAATGGTATGGAAAATCAACTACATCGTTATTTAGAGCTGTCAATAAAGTCACGATAGCGAATATGGTAGCCAACATGATATCCAACGATCGATAACGGTCATGGAACTAGAAGAAGAAGAAGAATGCCTTATATTAGTATATTCATGGGACTGGTTTAAAACGCTGGATAGATTAATTTTCATTAGGACTAAATAAAGGCAGGAGCCGTGTTTGAGAACTTTTGTTTGTATGAAAATCTCAGAAATTTCATTTCCAACATTAATAACCTTGTCAATGTTTTGAAGATATAAAATTATTAAACATTTTATGTAAAAAATCCTTTACAAAAGATATAATAATTTCCTTTCATAAAGGTAGTTAAAATTATTATATCTTTTAAAAAGGATTTTTAAACATAATTTTTAATATTTATGGTATACACCCAACTATGGGAAATTCGCTTTCCTTGTAGCCTATAATTATTGTTTTAGTTTTAACAGTGAATTAAAAACACATATCAAGAATAAAACTTTAAGGAAAGCGATATAACACAGACACCTTAAAAATTAATCCACTAGATATGGCTTTATTAATATAAAATACAATTTTTATCATACCTACATTTACTTGAAAAATCACTCGTAACTCCTTTTTGAATTGTCTTGTGTATGTTATAACAAATAGCATAGCGTTATATTATGACCCTTTCCGACGAGTTTGAATAAATTATTATCCAAATAAACACATCAGAAAAGTTTTTTTCTCATATATACATCAATTTTAATTGGCTTTTAAAAAGTGACATACCTTTATAATGCCTGATTAGTCAGCAATAAAATCAGCTTTTTTAGTGTACTATGATTTTTTTGTGATGAAATTCAAAGAAAAGTTAAAAAGTGCACTAATTTAATGGAAATTTTTAAAATAAAAGTCGATTTAAAACTTAAAAATCTAACAAAAAATGTGTAACCTGTGTTTATTGTCATCTCGTCTTGATGGATGGGATTGAGATCTCGCGATTCTCCTGGCCATGGTAAAAGTGTAATGTAGCCGCAAATGTCAACCATGAAATAAAATATTGCTGTTTGGTAGTGTCCGTGTTTTTATATGCATATGTTGTATGCTTCAAATATAAAGAGAGAAACCTTTTAAAAAGTACATTTTAATTATACTATTTTATGAATTCTGCAATTTTTAATTTATATGAAACAATAATGAGTAAATATTTGTCTCTTTCCAGATTGTAATTGTCCAGATTTTGAGAATATCCGCCTTCTAATCATAAAATAATCTTGCTTGCGACACCCACATAATAATTCCATTTTTTCCTTATTAATAATTATGTAGGAGGAATCTATACCACAAATCTTATCGGCCTAATAAACATCGTTTCTACTGAGTGTGCGATGAGATCATTCGGTCAAACAAAAGTTGCTGAAAGAGTGCGATTAATATTCAAACGTAACGAGACAAATTTATAACAGATAATGCCTGCTACCGTGTAAACAAAATACCGAAATATTAAAAGTAACGATATATTATAATTCTCAGTTTGGTATTCGGTACTTGGGGTATTGGATATTAACGAATGTAACGAGTAGTTACTTTTTTGACATCACTTAACTTCGTTCCCAATTAAGCTTTCCTTCGAGTTTCGTGTCTACAATTGATTTTCATCTAATCTTAAAATACAGTTAAGTTTATGTCATTTATTTTTTTTTTGTGTTTTAACTATGTTTTAGCACATGTAAGCTTATTAAATGCAAACGTTTATTAAGAAACAGATTGACTCCCGTGGGACATGGTAGATAGCTCAGTTAGTTAGGGCACAGGCACGGATCGCTTAGATCGTGGGTTCAAACCCCGTTGTCAGTTGTTTAGACATTTATTAATTTGGTTGATCTTTATTATGGCTATGTTAATTCAAGCTTAACATATAGCTACTCTGTTACGTTATTCTAAAATCTAAAGTAATGTTTAATAAATAGCAATAGGCAAATGGATAACTGCGAGACTTGCAAGACTCTTGCTGCTAGACCAAGACCAAAATCGGAAGCGCAATACCAAGTCCAAGACCAGGTCTATTGGCGCAAGACCAAGACCTAGACTGGAAGAGTGAAAAACCGGAACAGTTAACTTGTAGACCACAATATGGACGCACAACTTCTATATGACTGAGTCTCTCTTGTCGACCAGGTCCTCTCCAAACTTTCACTCTTCTTTAATCAGGGCAGAGACAAAGCCTAGCTTCATATGTGAATAATACAGAACTTGATTCTTGTAAGCCCCACTGCACATATTCTTGTACTCACCTTAATGACGTAACATGGGAACTCTCGATGGATGTCTGCCGTGCAGGTCAGTTTCATGTAATCTATTCCTCAAATTTTGGTCACGTACGCTAATGTTGTGGGTTTTTTCTAAGACACCATAGAGTTTCACGTTGACAACCCCCATGTCTTCAGCGACATTACGAATTGTTCATATCGACGTCACAATCGCGAAATCATGGTCCTAGGCATGTCAAAATGATGTGCAACATCAGTTTGAAACTGATGTTGCAGCTGGTGAAAGAACAGCCTGAATCATATTCATAGCACTTACCATTTGAACATGTGTTAAATATCGACGCTCCATGACTATCTTTGCGTTTAATAATCTTGTTTTAGTAAAATTTTAAATTATCTAAAGAATATTTTTAAAATTTGAAGCATTATTTCTTTACAATTTGAAGCACTATTTCTTTACAATTTGAATCAATTTATAGTACGAATTTGGGGCGCTATCAGTTTTGCCTTAAGGGGACAGTCTCATGCGAAACTTTCAAAAAATCAATTTTATTTTTTTTATATAAATCGCTTCCATTTACATTCAAAAACTCCCTCCTAAAATTTTAAAAAGAAATTCCCACTAGAATATAAGTTATAGTTATTTTATTAACGTCATCTACGCACGTATGAAAACCGGTTTCCCTCCGCGCGGCGAGCGCGAGGCTCCAGCTGTTCTTGCTTTTGTATATATGGTGTATATACGTTGGGTATCTATTAGTGATTCATTTTTATATAGTATGTATATATCTGTATAACGTTTGGCGTTTACTATACACATTTGGATTTGGAATTTTAAATCCGGAACATAGGATTTTTTTACAAATACTAAGATTCTCTGCGTTGCAATTAACCAGTGTAAATTTATTTGTTCCACTGGATTACTTCTCCTTAGCGGTTTATAGTAGCGTATATGGCACGCCGATAGTAGCGTATATGGCACGCGACAGTGTTGCTCCGTCTACCGATTTTTCCTGAAAGTCCGGTTTTGTGCAGATAATAAATAATGTTTTATTAACATCAATTTTGTTTGTGTTCATTAGGTATTATTTGAGTTATAAAATTTATACTTAAATACATTTATTATTCCAAATATTGTTTATAATTTCAAATTAAAAAGAGTGTAATATAATTATTTTATTTTTAAAATTCCTTTTTATTTTTTATTTTAGAAATCAACTTTTTTTTCAAGCCGTTTTGGCAATAAAACATAACTATTTTTTAGTTATAAAATATCTTCATATCTACATTTATAAATAAGTCGTTTTCGTTGAATTGACATGCGATCTAGGTGTGTTCCGTTTTTACACTTATACTGGCAGCATCGCGGAGTGAATTGAGGCTCCAGTCGAACATGAACAAATGAATTAATTATAAAACATCGCGACGTTGTATTGAAATTTACAGCTTTACAAAACCATTTACAACAACTATTGGATGAGGAGTGTCCTCAATATTCACCAGGAATGGCCGATTAAACGTGAGTATAAAGTTATCAGCCTTTTATTCACGAAAATTATGTAAAAAAAACTTTAAATGCTTTTTTCTCAGAAGTAACATTTTCAAACTGGTCAGACACTTTTCTCCAAACCTTCTTAACTGATTTTAAAAAACCAAAAATTTTTCGAATGTACATATAAAATACTAGACGATAAACCTTTAAAATATTTAAAAACCACCCTCCCCCCTTTTATTATATATGGGTAAATCCACCGAAAAATATAGCGATTTTTCGACTTTTTTTAAAACATTCGTATAAACTCTTCAAAATAATAAAATTTGCATATTTTAAAGGTTTATCATCTAGTTTTGAGTCTCACGAATACAACCCATTTTGAATTTTTTGAATATCTGTTACAGGTGACCCACAAAGTGTCTTACCACCAAAAACGCACTTTTTACTACACGCCATCTACAGGACACCAATGAAGTTAAAATCGCTATTAAATATTTTTTTTTATGTACTTCAAGACTTACTTAATCATCTCCAAAAGGAATTATGTTAATAAATAATATAGTTTTTTTCTGTTTTAATTTTAAAATGTGTCTTTTTTTTTAATCGCATGAGACTGTCCCCTTAATAAAACAGTGCAATTGACAGATTAATTTACATAGCATACCTTGATTTATAGAGAACAATGTTTCAATGTTCGTACTAACAAAAAAGTTACAGTTTTTATTGAAAAAAGTGAAATAATAAAGGTGTTCCTTAGACATTTTTGATGTGCGTATTAATACTGAAAAATCATTCTAAAATGTTTTTAGACGCCATCTTTGTTTTTTTCTGTCATTCTGTCTGTGCTGCCTCATTCATGATGACATACGCCTCTGTAATAATTAATATAAAAGAATATATTTAACGCCTTTTTGACATGATCCCTTCTTGAAGGACACTTTTGTACCTCGAAAGAAAAAAATGCACCCAATTGGATACATTCGTACATACCTTTTTCCTATCAAAGATTTAAGACGCTATAAAAAAATAGTTTTTGAATTTCAAGCGAAGTCTGGTAATAGGTACTCGTAGTTACTACTTCGTAATATGAATGTAGATATTTTTGTGGATGGGCCCAATTCTGCTGATTAAGGGTAGCCATGTGGATTAGTAGTATCTGGTGTCACAAAGTCACAAGCTTCCTGCTTTCCTGAGAGGACTAGAGAACAAAGCAAAAATAATATACAAATCCAAACACCTGCTATAGCATATCTGAAGACTGGCATATAAAATCAATTCCTAAGTTAAAAATAAAATTCAAACTTAAAAATGATTGCAATAAGATATCATTTGAAAACGAATTCACTTTATTAATATTATACAAATCATTGAAAATTGAGATGACATAGATAGGCAGATTTATTTTAATAGCTAAGAATTTCTTTAATTACCACTAATTAATTTACTAGCCCTACCCCTTCGACAAAAAGAAAAAGAGGACGACCGCCCATTGATGACTACGACCAAACATTCACCACTCCTAAAATTGCTTCAGTATCTGGAGGTATGAATCAAGAAGATGCCTATTCGAATGATGCGATGTCTAGCAGCGAACATGACTTAAACATATGGGACGAAGATCAATCCGCAAATGAAGGAGCAGACAATACCGAAACAGATGACCCTCCAGTTAAGGTTAAGAAAGAGGTAAGAGGTTAAATATAATCTTAGCGTTTTTTGTAATTTGAACAAAATTAGGACGAACTAAAATACCTTTTAAAAATCGGAAAACCTACGATCATTTAAATTACCGTAAAAAATACTTTTGACATTACTACATTTAATTAACCTTCTAACCTTTTATTTTTGTTCAAAATATCTGAAAATTTCTATTTAGTGTAATTTAAGTGATACAAAAATTAATTTCGTGTTAATGTTTTAATATATATTATAGTTTGGCCTCCAGATGAGAAAGAAGATAGACTATCTCTAGACAGTTATATGGGTGTAGTTGTAGAAAATTAGAACAATTAATAAAATAACTAAAAAATCGTTTATATTATTGAAACAAAAACAAAAATGTAACTTAACGAACAAAATAAAAAATTAGAAAGTAAAACTATACAAAAAATAAAAAATATGAAAAATAGTTAACTATCTGTTAATGAGAAGTGATAAAATCAATTTTTTTCTGGTCTAATACATAAATTAAGATTGCATGTTTGTTAACGCTTTTGTTGATTTTATCCATAATCAAATTGAAGAGCATGGGGCTCAATGAATCCCCTTGTCTTATTCCGCTGCCTATTTCTATAGGTTCTGTAAGTTGTCCATCTATTCTAACTTCCATTTTGTTGTTTTGGTAGATGTTTTCGATAATTTTTATAATATTTAGGAGAACTTCTCTTACTCTGTTAAACGTTTTCTTTAGGTTAATCAGACACGAGCGATGCCCAAGGGAGGTGACGAACCTGAGGGGAAAATAGAAAAAGGAAAAAGAAAAATAAAAAAGACGGAAGAGGGAGTAGCGGAGATGAAGGAGAAAGTGAAGATGAGGAGTGAAAGAGAGGGATGAAACTCAAGAGAGGGAAGAAAAGCTGGAGAAGAGAAGTGGAAGAAATTGTAGATAAAAAAAGCAAGCAGAAATAGCGGGAAGAATATGGAAGAAAGGGAGAATCAGCAAACCAAGAGAGGGGAAGAAAAAAGGGAGGAGAAAAAGGGAAAGAAGGAGAAAACAGGCAGAAGGAAGGAAAAAATAAAAGGGAGGAGATTCTAAGGAAAGAAAACGAAAGAAAGGAAGACGAACAAGCAAGCAGTCCGGACAGCAGAAGCAGCTTTGATAATGAATGGAAAAAAAGGAGGTCAAGAAAAAGAAAACCAACTGAACTACAAAACTAGATCAAAGTTGGAGCGTCTCCAGGACAGCGTAGCGGAACTCGGGAAACTTATGAGAAAAGTGCCAAATACAAGGCTATTCATAAAGAGGGAGGTCGACATCCTGAGAAATCGGATGCTCGAGATTATATCGAGGAAGTGGAGGAAAATAAGAAAGAAGAGGCTCCAAGGAAGTCTGTATGCATGACATCCAGAGGCGTACAGATCAACATAGAACCCTTGAAAGTTAAGAAATTGGTGACAATGGGGGTTCAAGTGGACCTAGAGAATCCAGAAGCCATTAAACGAAGGGTAGACGAAGGTAAGAGAAAGGTAGAGGAGGTCTTCACTAGGACTATAGTGAAAGAAGGAGACATCTCAGAAATAACAGGAGATGTGGCATTCTTTGTCACCAACAATGACGAGGACAACAAAGCTATGGAAAAGACCAAAGCTATGTTTCCGCAGATACCAGGTGTTTTAGCGGAGCTGGACGAGGAGGGCGGCCTGGGAAGTATGAGAGTCACGATGTCTGCTCATAAAGATGGAACGTGGATCCACAAGGAGAAGTATGGATTTAAACTTCTTCCAAACAAAAAGGAAGAACCTGTGCCGTTGAAGTTCCTAAAAACATGCAGGAAACTGGTACAGAAGATAGAAGAGCTAGGAAGAGAAAACTTGGGAATCCACACACCACTAGTCCCAAGAAGAGTACGAGAGTAAAAGAGAGCGCGAAAGAAGTCGAAGGTTTAGAAATGGCAGACAAAGAAAACAATACATGAGAGCTGAGGGAGCTCCAAACTAATGTTGGAACGGCAATATTAGCACATGATCTTGCTGAGGCTACCGCATGTGAAAAAGAGCATCGATGTACTGGTGACGACAGAACCAAAACCAACAGCGGTGAAGAGAAGATTATGGTTTGTAGATACGACCGGGAGAGCTGTTGTACGAATCTACAATAGGAAGCTGTGAGTGTATGAAATTAAGCCGAAAGAAGGATATGTGATTGTTCAAATGGAGGGGATGCGGCTGGTCTACTGTTATATTTCTCCAAACTTGAGGGTGGGCCAGTACGAGATGAAGATAGACGAGATCATGCAGGAAGTAGGAAACACAGGAGGAGAATACGTAGTGCTGGGACATTTTAATGCAAAAGCAGCGGAATGGAGATGTCCCATCACCGATACTCGCGGCAGGATACTAACTGACTGGGTGGGTACTCTAGACCTAGTGGTTCTGAACACAGGTCTGGAACCTACGTTTGTTAGGAGAGGTACAGGTACGTACATCGACGTGACCATGGCGACACAAGGAATAGCGGCGAAGGCAAGAGGCTGGAAGGCTTTGCCAGACTACACCGGAACTGAACATCAATACATCGAGTTATCGATAACTGGAACGGGGACCACTAACACGGTCCGTGCATCCGGGACGTCCGGGGGCAGATGCGGCGATGAAAATGACTGGAAAGTATACGAGGAGCTAATTAAATGGAGAGTGAGCATAATGCAGGGTCAATCACCGACGGTGGAAAGCCTGGAGAGAGTCATTAAAGAAGCGATGGAAGAAAGCAAGATTGGTCGCCAAGATGTCAACAGGATGCCATATTGGTGGAATGCGGATATCGAGGCACTGAGAAATGTATGTATAGCAATGAGAAGAAGGTTAACAAGAGCAAGAGGCAGAGCAGGAATCAATCCTGAGGTCATCGAAGAAGAGTACCGCACAAGGAAGAGGGAACTGTACAGGAAAATCTGTACAGAAAAAAGAAGGCACTGGAAAGAGCTCTGTGAAAAGCTGGATGAGAACATCTGGGGTCAGGGATACAAGTACGTCATGAAAAAGTTCCATGCGTATCCTCCTTACGAAATGCCTATGGGCTGTACCCTTTACCATGGATGAACTTATCGAGGTGTTGGCTTCACTGAAGACTAGTAGGTCCCCCGGACTGGATCAGATACCACCTGAGGCTGTGAAGGGTGGAGCCTGCGTGGCTTCTGGAACACATGAATGCACTGCTGGAAGCACAAACCTTTCCTGAGCCTTGGAGGACATCGAGATTAATACTGCTTCCCAAAGCTAGGGAAAAGTATCGCTCCATCTGTCTTCTTCCATGCATCAGTAAGCTGTATGAAAGGATGCTGCGAGTACGCATAGACGACATGATTGAGAGGTCAGGAGGTTTATCTCGAAGGCAATTTGGTTTTTGTAAAGGGAAAAGCACGATTGATGCAACCATGAGTGTAGTCGAAGGCTTGCGCAACAGAGGGGATGAACATCGCTAGGCGGCCCTGCTGTTGTTTGCCCTGTACAGGGCTGTGTCTTCGGCATCCTTATGGACCATCACTGGATGTGTTCCGTTGCATGTTTCCGTTGGAAAGAAGAGAGCTTTATGAGAGAAGAGGCCCAAACCGTACTGTAACAGAGAAGACAGGAAAGGGAAAGGTCAGTTGAAAGATGGCAATAAGAATGGAACAACACGGAGGATGTGGCACAGTGGACAAAAATGCTGATCCCGAACATAAGAGCTTGGGTGGACTGTGGCCACAGGCGACTGGTTTGTTTTCTGACGCAGGTGCTCACAGGACACGAGTGTTTTAGGCCCTACCTCTATAGGATCGGAAAGGCTGATACAGATGAATGCCTATACTGTGGATACTCGGATACTGTGACACATACGATGTTAGATTGCAGCAGATGGATAGTGGAAAGGAACAGAATGGAGAGACAGGTGTGAAATTTGTTACAGTGAGAGAAATGATTGAGAGAATGATTGAAAATAAATTAGGTTGGATTAACAACACAGCTATATCCGTGCAGTGATCAAGAAAAAGGAAGAGGAAGAAAGACAGCTGGACCAACGGCAAAGGTAAGAGTGAATGATGCTGAAATGGGTCAAATTCTTTGAGTTAGAATGCGTGAGTCAGACTGTGGGGAAGGAGGAAATGCCCGTCTGGGAATGATGCCGAACTGGGAGTGTCTTCTACGCGCTACCTGGAATGAGACAGGGAGCTTCCTTGCTGATGAATAGAGTGTGGATGTGTATGAATGAATAAAGGTAGTGTTTCGGAAGTGATGCCGGCCTTACAGCGGCCATTCCGCTTCCGGAGCGCTGGAAGACAGAGGAGGGTCTGGTTTAGCAGGTAGGCGTTCGGCGTAGACTCAGCGACAGGAGGGTATTTTAAAGTACTTAGACTGAGATGTCTTTTGAAGGTTAATCAGACACAGAAATGTTGGTCTAAGACAATACCGAAACAGACAATACCAATCACCCTATTATACTTTAGTAATTTCTCAGTAATTTGCTTTATAACTAATATTGCATTTGTACTAGATCTTTCACTACGAAAACCCTGTTGTTTATCTGCTCAACTTATCCTCTGGTTTAGTAGCACTTGTAAAATTTTAGTTGTAAGTTTTAGCGTAGTATTTAACAAGTTCTCTGTAATTTTTTGGCTGTTTTTTATCTTTTTTTTTTAATAGTAGAATTAATTCCCTCGTATTCTATTCTTTCGGTATTTTATTGTGTTTTATAATTTTATTAGTAAAACTGTTAAATAAAAAGACACGTTGTTCTAACGTAAACTTAACACGAACGTTCTCTGCCATTTCACTCAAAACACGACAACTAAACGCACGAAAAAAACGGTAGTCGACTATGCCCAGCCGTGCGCGATGCTTCTTGGTAATGCACGGTGAACGCAAGAGGGAGCGATGGAATTCGAACATGCGTCGTTTTCGAGGACGCCAGCTGTTTTCTACTCACCCCTGTATACAGCAAACTCCCGTTCATTTGCGAGTCTATAGAAGTGTGAATGAAAACGTATTTTATTATTATTTTTAATATTATAAGTCAAAATATAATATTCTTTGGATTGCAGCAAATATATGTATACAAATCATGCTACATCAGCTATCAAGAATGTCCGGATATATTTTTACACATAAATAAATCATTTTTGTTTTAGTCACACGACTATGATGACATCGGAGTGGATGAACAAAGTAACACATCCGCGAACGAATCAAAAGAAAAATTAAATATAAATCTCCAGGTGAAAACTTCCAACACCACAAATTCCAATGTTACGACATCTGGAAACCCATCATTCCTTACCCCCGCTTTAGAAAAAGAATGGCCTGACGTTATCAAAATGAACGACTACTTGAACACGGGTAGGCGACAACAGTTCTGGGAAGAACCGTTTACGAAGCGAGTAATGGACGCCATTAAAACGAAAAATCTCGAGATGAAAGTTGCAGCTGAACTGTTAGGTGTATCGTATGGAACGCTGTATGGGCGGTATAGAGATTCATATGGTTGTTTAAAACATCCTTACAGGTAAGTCATTATTAAATGGAATCCGTAACAGTATTTGGTATTAATATTTAGAAGTGGTAATATTATTTTCCCAGAAGACAAACTAGAAGCACATTAAAAATATATAAATGCGTAGAATGTAGAAGACAGAACTGAAAATAAATGATTATCAGTCGAAGAAAGAACGAAGCATGAGAAAGAAACTGCTCAAGAATAAATACTTACATGGGTGGAACTGAAAGTTGGAAAATTATAAATATTATATTATTATAAAATTATTTATATAAATTATATAAATATATTATAATATATATATATATATATATATATATATATATATATATATATACAGCGCATATAGAACTACAATCTCTAAACGTCTTAAAGTAGAAACTATTAGTCAAAGGAAGACTAGGAAAAACCAGGATAAGCTGTAGTGAAGACCTTGATGAACATTAGAGAGAAAGGAGAACTTATGCAATGACCGATCGGTGTGGAGATTTGGATGATGCTAGAGAAGTTTAAAACCAGTATATAATACCACGAGTAATATTATTTACTCGTGGAAAACAATAGACTCCCAAAACAACTGGAATGGACACCTACGAGAAGAAGACAGAAAAGAGGAAGAGCGAAAAAAATGGACGGAAGGAGAAAAGGATATCATGCATGTCGGATGTTTTCTTGTATGTCCATTGTCTTTCTCGAAGTTCTTTGATTTTCGTACTCTTTCCATTTATATATTTATATTTTATATATATATATATATATATATATATATATATATATATATACAAACAACCAAACAACACAGTTTATTAGGGTTGCAGTCTTCTAATAAACTGTGTTGTTTGTTTATATAGACAGTCACTAATATCCAGTATTTCTTATATACATATATATATATATATATATATATATATATATATACAAACAACCAAACAACACAGTTTATTAGGGTTGCAGTCTTCTAATAAACTGTGTTGTTTGTTTATATAGACAGTCACTAATATCCAGTATTTCTTATATACATATATATATATATATATATATATATATATATATATATATATATATATATATATATATATATAAGAAATGCTGGATATTAGTGACTGTCGATATAAACAAACTAATAATCCAGTATTTCTTATATATATATATATATATATATATATATATATATATATATATATATATATATAAGAAATACTGGATATTAGTGACTGTCGATATAAACAAACAACACAGTTTATTAGTTTACGATTCACATTACCATTCAGTTATTGTATGTACAGAGTACAGATATTTCTATATCTGTACGAAGTATTACTTTTTCATTTCTATGAAAACCAACGAGGCGGAAAGTGTCGAAAAAATGTTAACTTAAACAAGGGAAAGGATGTAACCTTGTCGCATTCCTCTTTGTATTGCAGCATCTTCAGACAAAGAACCTATTGTATTTGTATACGGATTTTTTGTTTCCAGTAGGTTTTCTATAATTCTCTTATTATTTTTCCAAAGCCTATGTCATTAAAAATTATTATTAGATTTTTATGAGAAACTTTTAGTGGTTCAAACATTTTTGTGATATTATAAGGGAGAACATAGCTTCCCTAATTTAGTTGTCTTTCCTGAATCCTAAGTCTAATTGTATATTGCAACTGTGATACGAATGTTTCTGGCCCGTCGTCTCTATTACTTAAATACTGAGGAATCTGCCTGTCCTCGCCGTATATTTTTTTTAATATTTTTTTAGTCCTCCTTTCCTTAAATTAAAATTACCCTACTTTAAACTCCTGTATGTTAGAGATTAATTTCTTAGGCCTAGGAACATCCTTAAATTGAAACATCCTTATTAATAATTTAAAGCATAAAACTATGCAGCTATGCAGAAAAAAAGCATTTTCATCATTAATATTTAGTATTAGTATTTAGTTTTAGCATTTAGTATTAGTTATCATTAGTATTTACTAAAATATAATTCATCTCAGCTAAAGCTAGGAAATTATATCTATGGAAATGATAATTTTAATAAAATTCGAGCTGGGCAATATTGGTCTAAACCAAGATCATTAATCTAAACATACACACACCGTTTTCCCCCCGTGAAGGGGTGTTTTAGAGGAAAGCCCGGATGTACAAGTGGTAAACTTTTTTGCATCTTTTATTTTGGTCCCAAAATTCAAATTGTTCTTATGATTTTTATAGTTTCAGTTACGTTTTCGCCTCAAACGGCTGGAGCATTATTGGATGTCGAAATAAAAATAAACTGTTTTTTAGGGTACGTGACTTTTGGACAGAGCAGGGATTCACGGATATCATATTGAAGCTGAAACGTAAAGAAGTTACGTTGTTCCGGGCGGCAGAACAATTGAACGTGACTCCACAGACTCTTTCCAATTATTTAATATCCATGTCGCAGATGGATACGGCCGATGCGAATTCGAGTCGACAGTCTAACGCAGGGGAGTCGTATGAAGACTCGGATGACGACGGTGATTCGATTTTGCCGGATGCCCCTTCCAATAATTCGCATTTGTTTAAGAATTTAGTATCGGGCAGTGCAACTGGTGGTAAGTATTGTAGTACGAGTATTTTTTGGTTCGTTATCATTTTCAAAAGAACTTTGTTATCAGTCATGTTAAAGGCCATTACAACAGTAAAAAACTGGAGTCATCTGTATCCGGTTATGTAATGAGAGATTGTTTTACAAACTTAGTGTTTGTGACCTGGAATTATTTCTGAATTAGGCATTAACAAAGGCTACATGGAGATTGTATGACGTATAGCTCTGTTGACTTATAGTGATATCAACGGCGTTAGGACCCACTCTTTATACCTGAGAAAAATAAACTGTGCGCGGTAAACGGGAGGATTAATCTGGATAAGAGGTAGACGGATCGATCAACACTTAATCCGGCAAGGCGTGGGAAGTGACTAATCAACAGTTAGTCACGGAACGGGCGGTATCAGATCAGCACTCTAAGACTGGATTTTGGAACTGCCACTAGATCAACACTCCAGCAGAAACGGTTGACCTTCGGTCAATACCCTAGGGCCAATGGAGTGGTTCCCAGATCAACATTCTGATAGAACTCGGTTCTCTTTTGCGGCGACTGGTCGTCAATCTCCAGAGTGTATGCGTATAGAGCTGAGGTAAGCTGATGGCGATCGCTGGCGATCACATCATTGCCAGACAAGTTACAAATAAATTCAGTTATTGTGTAGCTGGCCCTTATAAAAGATTTTGTCCTGGCCAAATTTTGTACCTTATAGTGAAAATTGAGCGACGATTGAAGCGCCACGTAGAACATTTCGGAATTGGATATATACCAATAGAAGTAGAAACCTCTCGGTTCAAACGCGATTACGAACATTCCGACGTTACATATGAAGCAATCGTCTTATGATATAAGAAATGGACTCTTAAAACTGACCCTGTACAAATAAAATACAAGCCTTTGAAATGTGGTGTTACCGAAGAATTCCCAAAATTTGCTGAACCAGTCATATGAGTAATAAGCAAGTCCTCCGACAGTTCAACACAGAACGGGAACTCCTGAATATTGTTAAAACCAGAAACATTAGCTACTTCGTTCATATAATAGAGACAATAAAATTTACATCCTTCGCCTTATTCTTCTTCTCATGACGTCGTCTCCCGTCGAAGGTTGGCGATCCAAATGGCAAGTGTAGTTTTGGAAACTGCTGCGCGAAAGATTTCTGCGCATGAGCGGTCGAACCATCAACTCGGGTCTTTCAGCCACGAGTTCTGGCATCTTCCTACTTATCTTTTGCCCTGTACTTTTCCTTCCAGTATAACTTGAAGTAATTCATATCTTTCGTCTCTCAACAATGACCCAAGTATAGCATTTTCCTTTCTTTTACCTCAACATTAGTAACTCTTTGTACCCATAGAATTCTCAACATTTGTCTGTATATATACATCTCAAAGGCATCTATTCTTTTTTTATTTCAGCGTCCATTGTCCAACTTTCACAGCCATGCACTAAGACAGAAAAAACGTAACCTAGGCTGCAGACTAAGGTCTGATCTTATAAAAAATGTTTTCATGCTAATGAATGTTTTCCTTGCGTGTTCGATGCTTGATAGGATTTCCTTTTTTGGATTACACTGACTATTGATATTTAATTCCAAATATTTTATGGAATTTACCTGTTCTAATATTTGACCCTTGGCATACACATATACTTTTATTGGTGTCTTTGAAAATACTAAAATTTTAGTTTTTTAAACGTTTAGATGTAGACCGAACTTTTCGCTGTGGTGAACTACCGTATTTATTATATTTTGTAGTCCATGTGCGTTGCTTGCTATTAAGACGGTATCATCAGCATATCTGATGTTGTCTATGCTGATTCCGTTAATCTTGGACCTCGTCTAATGCTTCTCTGAATATAGACTCCGAACACAAATTAAACAGTAGCGGTGATAAGACGCAACCCTGTCTCACTCCTCGTCGGATTTATATATTTTCGGATGTTTTGTGCTCTATTTCAATTGTCGCCGTTTGGTGCCAGTGTAGTTCTGAGATAATTCGCAAGTCTTGTTCGTCAACTCCAGTTGTTCTCAGAATTGGATCATATCTATTTTTCTTGTCACTGTTTTCTTTTTGACTTTGAGAATTCTTTTTAATCTAAAATCCATTATAACTGGATTGTGATCGCTATGTATATAAGCTCCAGGGTATGTTTTCGTAGATTATATGTACTTCTTAAAGGTGTTATTGAGCAAAATGAAGTCAATTTGATTTCTAACAATTCTATCTTTTCTGTCTGCAGATGATTTTCATGTGTGTAGCCTTCTAGGATGTTGTTTGAAGAAGGTATTGGCTATTACCAGATTGTTTTCTACGCAGAATTGTACAAGTCTATCTCCTCTATTATTCCTGGTACCTAGACCGTATTCTTCTATTTGGTCTCTTTCAGCACCACGACTAATTTTAGCGTTAAAGTCACCCATGATCATCGTTATCCCATCTATTTTTGTTAGTCGCATTATTTCATCTATATTGTTATAAAAATTTTTGATTTCTTCGTCTGACTTGTCACTTGTTGGAGCATAGACCTGAATAATATTTAGTTTTCTGTAAGTTGATTGTAATTTCAACATTGCTACTCTATTATTTAGAGGGATGAAGTCTGTGACTGATTAAGCAATTTTATCCAAGGTAAAACTCAGGCTAAAACATGGATACGCCGTAAAAAAGTAAAGCAGTTGTTCTATGCAGCAATGAACAAGGACCAATCCAACGTAATTGTCGTGAAGATAGCTCACGCCTGCAAATAGGTATAACACTGAAATAAAAACAAACACTAAAACCTTAAAAAACGGCAGAAAATGGAAAATTATTTTAAAAAATTCTACTTTTTGATGAAGTTTTCATACAAGCACGTGAGTTGGAAGAATATCCATTGTTAAAATTAATGTTAATGCGATATAATTGTGGCAAAGTTGTGTTAAACCACACTTTTACGAGGTAAAGAAATTGTCAGTTAATCAAAGAAGAAATAAATGGGTTTGTCCTTTTTAAGTTGTTGATGAATTATCCAAGATAACTAATCTTCCATTATCTTCAATATATAGTGGTTTTATGATATAAATGTATTCAGATATTTTAAGAAAATCAAATTTAACATACATAATAACGCCGTTCTTTTGAAATGATTTTATTAGTGGAATAAAACTATTAATTTAATATTTAATGAGTTAATATTTTATAAAACTTGTAACTGGTTACATCTCAATCATAATAGATCTGTGGTACACACCTTTCTTTTTTTTTTCTTTCCTGATAAATAATCAATTTTTAGACTTCTTCTATTGATCTCAGGAGATTTAAGGTGCTTACTTGCAGTTTTAGAGCAGTTGTATAGAGGTTTTGCCAGTTTTTTTGAAAATCTACATGCGAGTTCAACTTTTCTTGAGTAAATAATGGTCTGTCGAGTATTTTTGGTCGAGTAAAACGTTTATGGTTTGATTTTCTAGAATTTTTCAATGCAGTTTCAAAAACAGATCATACTATTCAATAAATACGATACATGATGATGAGTAATACACTTCAAAGGGAAAGGGTGAGAAACAAGGCACCACAGAACCTCCTTTAATTATGGAAGTACAGTATGCAATCAAACGTGTTAAGAACAACAGGTCATCAGGAGTCAACAGCATTTCTGTAGAACTCTTTATACATCCAGGCAATATCCTTATCCTTTGCCTTTGTCTTAAACGTCCTAACAGAGAGATGTGTAGATGTTAACCAAGAGGTACACGCCTGCTTTATAGACTTTAAAAAGGCCTTTGACAAAGTATGCCACTATAAACTCAAAGACATCCTAGAGGATAAGAACATCGACACCAGAGACATACAAATAATATTAAATCTATACTGTAATCAGCAAGCTAATATAAAAATAGACCAAACATCGGTCGAAATAAAAATACGTAGAGGAGTACGACAGGGTTGTATATTGTCACCGCCTTGTTTAATATCTTCAGCGAACAAATATGCCAAGAAACTCTCTCACAAGCAAACGAAGGGATAATAGTCCATGGAGAAGTTATCAATAACATTCGATATGCTGACCATACTGTGATAATGGCAAGAACAGCGGAAGATCTACAACATCTAGTTGAAAATATGAATGAGATATGTAATAACTACGGCATAAGGATGAACGTAAAAAAAACCAAATATATGACCTTCAGTAAAAATCCAATACGTGACACTAGTATCGCAATAAACGGTTCCCAACTCGAAAAAGTAAGCGAATACAAATACTTGGGAACCCTCATCAATGAAACAGGTGACCAAAATCACGAGATAAAAAGACGTATTGAAATGCCAGGCATTTTATAAAAATGAAAAAATTATTTTGTAATCGCGGTATTAGTATTCATCTACGAACTAGAATGCTAAAATGCTATGTATTCAGTACTTTGCTTTACGGAGTTGAGGCATGGACTCTTAAACAGAGGAATGTTAAAAATCTTGTGTTTTGGTTGGGTGGATAAAATTACAAATGAAGAGGTAATACGCAGAATAAATAACGATCCAGAAGTTATACTGAATATAAAAAAGAAAAAACTTGAATACTTAGGCCACCTGATGAGAGGACAAAAGTACACATTCCTACAAAATATAATGCAAGGAAAAATCCAGGCCGTAGAAGAATGTCCTGGATGAGCAATTTAAGAGGGTGGTTTGGCTGTACCACTAACGAATTATTCAAAACCGCAGTCAAATAAAATTAGAATTGCCCTAATGATATCCAATCTCCGATAGGAGAGGCACTCAAAGAAGAAGAAGAATATCCTTATAGATCAAATCTACAACATAATTGTCTGGATTGAAGAACAAATTCCACAAGGAAAAATTCCTGTAGCTGGCTGTATACCACGTATCACAAAAAAGAGGTTAGTCTTCGTAAATGGGTATATTTATTTAAAATACCCTTAAAAGGGCTACATCAATAAAACAAACGTTTTCGGACAAACAGTCCATCATCAGGTTTTAAAATCGAAGAATTGCTAGGTCACAATGCCTGAGCCACCAAAATACTAGTTCCAGAGCCGGTGAGAGAACCTCTACACACGGAGAACAGCTGGTAACTGCGGAGTTACCAGCTGTTCTCCGTGATGTAATGTATTCTGCATGACTGCGGCAAACACTTTTTAGAGACTACCAAATGGGTATCATTAGTAAATGAAAGCAGTACACTAAGCCATTTGGGTGAAATACGACCGGTTTATAACAGACGGTTCCCGACAAAAAAGAGGAGTCTGTACAGTACAATTACTCCTTTTCAACTAGCACTAGAGAAGACTGTGAGAATGACTGTGAGAATACAATAAAGGAAGTATATCTAATATATGACTCTGATCATCTGCACTTGATCGTTCGCATCGACCGCAAACTTAAAAAAACATTTAAAAAAACACTACAATAACGAAAACTTAACCACAAAAACTAATAATATATTAGACACAGTTGCTACTGATGCCTGTACGTTCCTTCTTCTTCTCTTGGCGCTACAATCATTTGTGAGTTTTGGCATCTTAACAATATTTTTCCATTCTACCCTTTCGGCTACTTTTCTTCCCTAGTGCCTGATGTTCAAGGCTTTGAGGTCGTCCATCGATTTTTTACAGAGCATTCCTCTTTCTCATGTTTCTGCATCATATAGTGCTATACTTTTGACGATCGTGTTATAGATGTATTTATTTTTCTTCCTTTGCTGATATTCTTGTGCCTCTATATAGTATTTAATTTGCTTAGAGCGCTTCTTCCTTGGATTATTCTTTTACTTTCCTGTGGTTCTTTCTGTACTATGTTTACTACCAAGATAATTATAGTTTTCATATTGCTTTATTCTGTGGTATTTTATTTTATTCAGGTTTATTGTCAGTCCTATCTTTTGGCATTCATTTCGTAATTTCCTTTATATATATTCCAAGTAATCTTTTTCTTATGTCAGTATTTTCTGGCCATCAGTGAATTGTTATGTATATAGCCCTGTGTTGTCCAATGGTATATCAATCTATATTCAATATATGTTTGAAACAAGGTAGGTGAGACAGAACATCCCTATTTGAGACCCTTAATTCTGTAACATCTTTTAGTTATCTTATTTTCAGTTTTTATTGTAATAATTATTGTATTCTCGTATATCTCCTTGATAACTCTAATTAATCAATTGCTTATATGTGTCTTAGTTTGGTTATCGGTACATTATCATAGACTTTCGTTAAATCTACGTAAAGAAAATGGAGGCTTCTTTTCTTTTTTACTGTCTTCTCTATTTGCTTTAACGCAAACACATGATCTACACACGAATGTCCTGCTTTGAAACCACATTATTCTTCTGCTTCTCTATACCTATATTCATTTTTAATGAATTATTTTATTACTCTTCCGTACAGCTTTCTGAACATTGGTGTTACTGTAATGCCTCGGTAGTTATCGCATATGGTTTTATCTCCTTTTTTTTTGTATTGGAGTTAATACAGAATGTTTTTATGGTTATTTTACTGAAATCACTGTTAGTTGTATTGGTTCCTCACGTATTTCTTCTGTCTTCTGATATTGGTTTCTATTGTCTTGCTAAAGTTATTTTGTAGTATAGTTCTCATTATTCTCCCTTTAATAATTATAAGCTGGATAATGTTGCCTATAAATTTCCATGCTTCTGCGCATTTTGTTCCCCTTAAGAGTGTCTTTAGTTCTATACACTTTTTGTCGAATGCTTCTCTTATTTTTTAATATTATTTTATAGACCAAGCATTTTGACTTTGTCTTAGATTTCTTATGTCCGCTATACGTTTTTGTTTATATTTCCTTTTTCAGACTAGCGACTTTTTGATAATTCAAAATATGTAATTGATTTGAACATGATTTCTTAGTAGATTTTTAACCAATAATTCTGCCTTCGGCCAACAGATCTTCTTTTTTGAATCTTTCCCTGTATTATGAGTATCAAAATTTCATATTTTGGTCCCCTCATTACGTGGCGTAGATATTTCAATTTTCTGGTTTGTATATTGGTGGTTAGTTCTGTTTCTTTACGTCCCCTACCCTCTTCAGTACTTCTTTATTTATGATTCTATCAATCCATGATATTTTTAATACTCTGTGGTACAGCCAGAATTCGAAAGCCTTGATTCTTTTTAAATTGCATTTTTTTAATGTCTCAAGTCTCAGCTCCATATAATAATATTGAAAATATATGACATCGGATGGTACGTAGTCTTATTTCCAAATTAAGTTTGTTGCACGTTAGGAGTGGCTTCATTCGTATACATACTGATCTGGCAATCTATTCGCCTGATTATTTCTGCAGTATGATCATTGGTTTCAGTGATCAAAGTTCCCGAGTACTGATATTTTTCTACGTGTTCTATCACGTTACCATTTATTGTCAATTTGTGGTGTACATTTTGTGGTCTTCTTATAATTAGCATATATTTCGTTTTTTTTTTAGCGTTTGCGTTAATTCCCATCAGAGTTTTATTCATACTTAAGCTTTCGATTAGATGTTGTAGGTCTTCTATGCTCGTTACAATACGTATAATGTCATCTACGTAACGTAAGTTGTTAATTAATTTTCCGTTAACGCTAACTACAGCTTTGATATCATTGACCGTGTTTTTGATAATTTTTTCAGAATATAAGTTAAACAAAAGTGGCATAAAACGGGCCCTGTCTAACTCCTCTACAGATCTTCATTTCTTCTGACTGTTACCCATAAATTTGAACTATGGCACTTTATGATGTTACTGTCAGTGTCAATGTCTTACTCTATCGAAAGCTTTTTCATAATCAAAACACATACTGTAGGTCAACTTTTTCATTAAGACATCGTTGAATCAGTATGTTGATGACAAATGATCCTTCTCGAGTACCCATTGCATTTTGGAACCCGAACTGCGTCTCACTAATCTCATCCAACTGTTCTTACATTCTCTTATGTATTACTTTAAGCAGTACTTTTAAAGTATGACTTATAAGGCTCACTGTTTGATTGTCAAAGCCCTCTTTTGCTGCTTATTTTTTAGGTATTGTTATAAAGGCTGATTTCAGCCACTCTTGCGATATTATTCCCGTTCACTGTGTTGAACAAATCTGCCAATACTTACAAGTTATCATTTTCCACTAATTTTAACAGTTTTTCTCATATTTCATCCAATCCGCCTTATTGAGTTTTTTATTTCATCTTGATCATTAATTGATGCTGTAAAGAAAAAGCTATACGAATTTTAAAAAGATTTTTATTCCACTAAATGCTTTTATATACATATGAGTGCGACATTTACTAATATAGGAACATCATCATCACTAGCAAATTGCCCAGATATCACCATAGTGAAGAGGGAGAGAAACGACGATAGCAAAATCAACAATAATTCAGATCATTCCGAGAGCAGCAGCGATCAAGTCAAATGAGAACAAGTCTCGTTTGTCGCTTAATAAAAATTTCCACTTATTAGTATTTTGTAAAGACCAAAGTAATTTTGTACTGTATTTAGTTGTATAGTTAGAAGGCTTCATGGGAAAACAGCATAACACAAATTGGCACAGTCAGCAGGATTATGTACCACTCAGTGATGCATGTTGTATCATTCGGCGATGTATGATATAACTAATAAATGTTTTTGTGTATGAACTTAGTGATAAACAAAATGCTCTCTCTTAGAAATTGTATTGACCTAACCAGTGATTGTACATAATATGAAAATATTCAACAATATCTCAATTCATTTCTTCTTCAATATATTATATCTTTAGTTTTAACTATGATCCAGTTTCATATCAATTCTTGGTATAACAGAATGGTGCTTTCGTTCGCAATTTTTATTTTTTTGTTGTATTATATTTTATTAAAAAAATTTAATTTTTGATAAATAAAATTATTGTAAATTTGAATGAGTTGTAAGTAAAGTACGTCTAGAAAGTATAGGAATTTAAAAATATTGATAAAAATAATTTACTAATGCACAGGCCACTGATCCTTATTCACCTTTGGTACAGCTTTCAAACTTTTATCATAGGAAGATGAGTTGTCTCTTTCTTGATATTTCTTGTTCTAGGTTTGATCTTTACAGGGTAGAATTGTTTAGCTCTATGACTAACCACTCAATCTGTAGGAATGATGATTTTTTTATTAAGTTTGCTATGCCTTGTCCGTGAGGTTCATCGTATGTCGATTAGGTTCGTTAGCATTTATTGACAGAAGCTACTGCTATCAAAACTCCAATTACCGTTCATTCCTCTTCTATTATTCTTAGTTATAAGATATTAAATCGGGCGTGGTTTTTTAATCACCACACATAAGGATACAAAAGATGGACCATTTACCACTCTATCATCAACGTAGATATCAATGCAGAAACGTCGCTCTTACAAGAAAATTACATTTCTGTCCCACAGATCACGATATTAACGTGCAGAATCTATTTCTGCTTAGTATCTGTAAATTATTGCCCACCAGGTTAGCGGCAAGCTCCCCCGAAGTCAAGAAATTGTCGGATTAACGAATCCTCCGAATTTGATATTTTTCTCTGTGGCTCAGCTGCACCAGTCCGATCAAATTATTACCGTATCTTGCCTTTCAATTCGCTATTTGACTATGTATAGAGACGATATCCAAAAACTCTATTATATCTAATGAAACAACTAATATAGCAGGAAGGTAAATTACAGCGTATACCTTATTGAATTGTGGGCATTAGTAAACATTATTTATTTAGACGCGATAAAACCCAATACAAAAATGAAAAATCTTACTGTCCATAGATCCTCTGCTCATAGTTTCTGTCATAACAATTTCAGAAATATATTGTTGTAGTTCAGAAGGTAGATGCTATGCATATAATACTGCAACAAAGAACTGTAAGTTGCCTACATTTGGCGTAACTCAGTAAAATCAGTTTACTAACCTAAAAAATTAATTTTAAAACTTTCTATATTTAATTTTTTTATTGAATATACGTTCTTTGTTTACTAAAACAATAAATTTCACATAAAAATTGGCTTTATTCCATATCCAAGATGACGTTGCAGTGTTTTTTAATAATATTGGGTTGTTGGAAGAGTAACAATCATGTAGAAAGGCTAAAAGTGATTACAGTTTAGGCAATTTTTGTCCGCCAGATGTTGGGTCGTATAAAACACAACTAATAAACCAGAACTTGTTCCATGCATTTTATAAATTCCAACACTTCTCGAACATTATTTTCGTATGTTCAATAGACATCGTTGTACTACACAATTTATTGATGATTTTCTGATACCTTGAACGCATTTCAATTGACATAAGGCACAAAATTTACAATCAAAATAAAATTGAAAATATTTTCTAGACGTACTACACATTCTAAGTTGCATTTGACGCCCAATTTTGTTGGAAAAAAGTCATACATTTTTATTGATATAGTTGACATTCCCCCGCTGTACATATTTTTTTGCGTTGAGCTGTTTTGCCATCAGGCCGATTTAGAAGGAAGTGTCTCTTCAGCTGAATACGAAATATAAAATTGAAGTAGTGATATGGTGAATACCAAAATAATTTTTGTAAATTACGAAATTGCGCAGCTGCGTTAGAGGGATCAATCAATTTCGCTGTCTTGTTTCCATTATCGGTCATTCCATTGTGACAGGGATGATATTTGCAGTTCCAAGTTATATTAGTTTCTTGGACATATTTATTATTTTTTATTGTAATTTACGCTGTTGGTTTGTTTCCAAAAAATTAGATGTGCCAACTATAAAGACTATTTCCGTAATTATTAATAGACCACATGTTTTAATAATTACGGAAACACACAAATCATGTATCTCTACTGTATGCGACGGATGTGGCACGTTGTAATATTAACAATTTGCAATTGAAATTATTTCAGTTAAAAGTTTTCATTAGACATCGAATAATATAATATTCTAATGAAATTTGTAACTTACAATAAATAATTATCACTATATACGTGGAATGGCCGACATCTTTATCTGATACGTTCTTGAACCAATGCGGTGTATTGTATACACACACCTTGTTGATATATTTAGATTTCACCCCATAAGATCTTTGATAGCTTTATATTATAGTATTCAGTTTCCAAAACTTATCGTGATTAATTTGATGCTAGTTATATAGTATAAGTGAAACATTCAGTATATGCGTTATTTAGAAATGTGATTTAGAAAGCACTGTGGGGATTACATGAAATTATTTCTCTGTAAAAACTGAATAAATTAAATATTTAAAAGAAAATTCAGGACACATCGCACAAATTCATAGCTGTAAATATACACAGTGGATGACTCATAGATTAAACTTGTATGGTAATATAGAACTTTTTGTGTTTAACTTTTTACTTTAAGGAAATATATATTTATATTCTTGTTTATATTTTATTATGTCATTAAACTTACAAATAGTAGTGTCACTATTAGTAGTATCATAGAACCATGATATCCTATCTAAGACTTAACTTCTCATTTATTGGCCAACTGGATTCGTCCACGATTCCAATGCAAAGTAGATGCAATTTTGGAACTGCTGCATTTGAAAAAATTCTTTAGTCGGCATATAGCTTGAGCTATAAACCTATTTAGCTGCTCACGTCGAAATGAGTGGACTAGCCTGCTGAGCCATTTAACCGATACATATGACATTCATTATGTTATTATCCTTCTTTTTTAATATCACAACCCTAGCAGAAGAAGAAGGTTTTAGGTCGAGAAAATCATGAATTAGAGCTATATTTATAATGGGCCAAGTGTAAAAGAAATCGCTAGAATAGAAGAACCCGGCATATTTATTTTTGGTGGACCTTAAAAAGGCATTTAACAGGGTCAAATTAAATGAGGTTATCCACTTATTGTACGGAAGAGAGATACCTCTAGGAACAATCAAAATATCTACCAGAACAACACAATAAAATAAAAGTAGAAGAACGAGCTGACCCAATTGAAGATGGCAATTGGATAAGACAGGGGGATTTCCTGAGCCCTCTATTGTTCCACCTGATTATGGATGAAAGATTTAAAAAAGTAAGAACGAAAAAAGGATACCAAATAATCTGGTATGCAGACATGAATGAAACAATACGGAGAAATAAAAATGTCGGGAAAGAAATGAAAGGCAGAATTTACAAAATTAGAAAAATCGATGCTCATATATGCCGAATGACAACAATAGAGCTGTATAGAAAACTTACTGAGGGCACATTGAAAAACAGAGAGAGTTATGTCTACACAAAAAGAAGACCTTTTTTTGTCATCAACATCAATTGTCTAATTCTTATGAATTGTGTGCCTGGAAAGTTCTTTTTTATTCACAGCTGGGATAAACAGCGGTTTTTTGGCGACGTTGAAAACACCAACCTCATTTTTTCTGATGAACTGAATTAGATGTAAGCCACATTTCAATTAAAATTATTTCATAGCTGCAACTGCACAGGCTCACTAAATACTTAAAATCTAAAATATAATACCCTACAGCTAGACCACATCTAGCGCTCACGACCTTGGAGAATGGTTGTTTTGAAACAACATCCAATTTTCTCCATTTAATTTCAATGGAGGTTTGGTAGTTATGTTACGAAATTTTTGCAGCTAGATGCGTCTTTTTACAAGGAATCCAGTGGTGTATTCAGGTCAGAGTGTTTAAAAAGTGGAAATTGGTTGTTTTGCAAGTAGAGGTCTCATATGTAGTGGTAAATTTTGATGTCGAGTATAACACTGACGCCAAACAACATCTGAGTAACATATTTTTCTATTTATAATATACATAATATTGTGTTGCTTAATTCTATTTTATGAAAAGTCACAACCTATTATAATATAAATAAGTGTGTAGATATAATTTTAAGTTTTATTAAAAATACTTTACACAAAAAGTTCAGTTTTACCAAATTTTTAATAATTTTATTATTCATTGTAGTTTTGAAAATGTATCATTCCAGAAAAAGAGTTTTATTATTTATAATTTTGTATGCTCCAGAACAAAGTGAGTTCCAGTTATTTAAAACCATAGGTGCCTTGCTTACTATATATTTGTAGTCGTTGGTAATTAAGGAAATACGTGTATTGTCATTCTGTATTACTTGATTCATTGTATATACCTTTATGCTAATCTATTTATTAATTTTGCAAAGTTTTGTACTTAAACAGTAAGATCTTAAGTAACACAAGTACTTATTTATTCATTTTACTCTCTCGGAACTTAAAAAAAGGATAATAAAATCAAATTTTAATTGATTTTTCACAAATCAATATTCTAAATAGTATTTTTGTCATACGAAAATTCAGTAAAAAATCATCAACAGTATTCACCAAAGATTGTCAAAATAAATTATTTAAAACAAAAATACACCATCTTGGCATGAAAAGATGGTTTAGTGCTGTAAATAAATATGGCATAATAAAAAACAAAATACAGTTAAGTTCGTAAAATTCGGAACCCTGTTTCTGTTTCAAAAAATAATCTAGCACTACTTTTAAGGTGTAAAGCCCACCGCTCTCGTTCGAACAACGCAGTTCAATTTTGTCGAATGCAATTGCAGTACAATAATGTTGAAAATCTGATGGGAACACACACTTACCGATTTTGCAGAATGAGTTTTACTTTCAAATCAGATGTCAGATAACGATATACGTTTAGCGGGTCTTGCTCTTTGTATAAACAAAAAAAATTCAAGAAACGTAGGTGGTGGTGCAAAGATTGGTTGCTGAAAAGACCTACATACTGTGACGTACATTTATTAGAAGAATTGCTATTATATTAAGATAATTTTACTTCTCTTTTGTAACATATTCAAAAATTATTAATTTTCTTTTTTACCAATTCGTCATTAGTATCAGCTTTCACTTCTTGAAATTTAGCAACCAAAATCTTCACAGCTTTTTTCTAGCAGTTTTATCATGATGTAATGTCGATTTTATCACTCTTGTTCTTTATAAATGTCAAAGAAATCTCTTAAAAACTCACAGCTACAAGCCGTTTTCGAAATTTACGAGCAAATGATTTTTTTGCAATCATACGATTTTGTCATTGACACAATATACCCGACCCAACCAACTGTCGTACTGCTGCAGACTGACTTGTTTGTCTGCCGTCAAATCGCGCCGATTTGTCGAATCGTGCAAATACACTATCAAATTACGTTCAATTGTGTAGCATTCGATAAAATCGTACTGCGGCGTTGGAACGTGAGTGGCGGACTTAAGGCCCAGGCCACTACATACTAGACAACTGGGCAAAATGTAAAATAGCTTGTCCTATCTATAACTTAATACGTATGTAACATTTTTTAACGTATTTGTGCGAGTAGGGCTTATAAAGAAATTTGATTTAATATCAAAATTTCTTAAATATTGTCAGTAGTGTTGTCAGTTAATTCTCTCATTTAGAAATACATGGAAGTGAAAATTCGCTAAAAACTTCTAAAAAATTCTCCAATTCGACCAAAAATTTTCTAAAATGAGAATCTTAGAATTTCTTAAATACCATTTAACAAAAAATAAAAATAGACGATACCATAAGACAAAAAATATTCGAAATATTGGATACATTGAGATAATCAACACAAGGAGAAGGTGGAAGGAAAGATCACGTTGATTAAACACTCAACGACACCTAAAAAATTACTGAAACTGAACTGAACATATTAGCTCTGAATTTTCCAACAATTTGTCCAAGTTTTTTTCCTTTATCTTACTTTTTATCTCTTTTAAAGATGTGGTGGACATCATGTTATCCTGTCGACGGTTTCTGCCCAATTAGATCATCATCATCGTCATCCAGCCTCAAGAGTCCACTGCTGAACATAGGCTTCTTCCTCATGTTTCCAACCCCGTCTATCTTGCGCCGCCCTTATCCAGTTTTTATTGAGTCTTCTTAAATCGTCAGTCCATCTTGTAGGTGGTCGACCGACGCTTCTCTTGTCTTCCCTTGGCCTCCATTCCAATAACCTCTTTGTCCATCGCCTATCTGTCATTCTGGCTATGTGTCCTGCCCATCTCCATTTTAGTCTGGCTATCTTCTCGATGATGTCAGTCACTCCGGTTCTTCTCCTGATGTCTTCGTTTGTTATTCTGTCTCGGAGAGTTATTCCTAACATGGACCGCTCCATTCTTCTCTGCGTGACTCTCAGTTTGGTAGCTGCTGCTTTTGTTAAGGTAAGTGTTTCTGCTCCGTACGTCAAGACTGGGAGGACGCACTGATCAAATACCTTTCTCTTTAGGCACGTGGGCAGCTTACTTTTAAAAGTTTCTCTCAGTTTTCCAAATGCTGCTTCCAAAAGCTTTCCAAATGCTTTTCCAAATGATGCACCGATTAGATCTTAGTGTTGTCAAATTTACAAATAGTTTTTCATAGATTGGCGATTCCCAGTATTGTAAAGGATTTATTTAGAGGAACTTTTTTCAACAAGAAAAAACAATGAAAATTTTTTTTTTTCGAAAATATTTATTATCATACAGAAGAACCATTCTTTACAATTTAAGTAGCTCCAAAAGAGTCTAGAGTTTGAGATGTCATAGGATCTAGGCGGCCAATTCACTGGTCCAAAGCGTGAAATAATTTGTTCACCGAATCGTTCTCGCAGTAAAGCTATGCTTTCACGGGCTGTATGGCAAGTGGCGCCATCTTGTTGGAACCAAATGTCGCCGAGACCACGAGCTTCAATTTCAGGTACCAAATAGTCCGTTATGATGGCACGATAACGGTCTCCATTCACAGTAACATTCTGGCCGGCCTCTGTTAAGAAATATGGACCAACGATTCCACCAGCCCATAAACCACAGCAAACAGTGGTTTTTCAGAATGTAATGGCAACTCTTAAACCTCTTTAGGTTGTTCATCACCCCAAATAAAGACATTTTGTTTATTCATTAAGCCAAAAATGGGCCTCATCTAAAAACAAAATTTTTCTCGAAAACAGTGGATCTTCTGAAAGCCTATCAAGAGCCCATCGACTGAAACGGTGACGACTCGGAAGGTCGATCGGCTTCAGCTCTTGCACTAATTGAATTTTGTATGCTTTTAAACCAAGATCCTTACGTAAAATACGCCAAGTTGTTGCATATGACAAACCAAGCTGTTTAGAACGGCGACGAATCGATTCTTCATTTTGTTCGAGTACACTATCCGTTACCGCCGCTACTTTCTTCAGTACGTGCTAAATGTGGTCTATTTGGTCGCATGTTATCCAATAATGAAAACTGGGTTTCAAACTTATTAATCGTAAAGCGAATTGTACGTTCGGTAGGCCGATTATGTGGACCATAAATTGCTATAAGCACAAGAAGCACATTTCTCGCAGAACTCCCATTTTCAAAATACAA